GGAGTTCTCTCTCTCTCTCTTTTTTGGTTAGGTCTAAGAAATCTGTCAACTTGGTTATTTTTTACAAATAGCCAAACCTTTGTTTTGTTGGTTCTGTTGATCTCAATCTCATATCACTGGTTCAATTTTCATTATTTGCTTCAGGTTTGGCATGTACCTGAGTTTCAAGGTTCTTTTGTAGGCACTCAGAACTATGAATATTCTTCTGAAAACTGCCATTTCTAACTCCCAGAGGAGTTGTTACTTTGTGTGTTCAATCTTGTTAAATTCCGTTTGAATTTCTATTCTAATCTCTTAAAGGACCCACTGGGTCTCCAGTTAGTAAGATAAATTTTGTGTTGCACTCTAATTTTATTTCCTGTGGTCCCACAGGATACAAGGCCTAATTTCAATCTCATTTAAATTCGCACAGTTTTCCTTTGTGACCTAAATTTTTACCTATTTTGGAGACTGTCCCATGAGATGCTAAGAACAATGTGCACCCGGATGCTGCTTGGTGAAATATTCTATAAATGTCTGTTAAGTCTTGGTCAATGCCATTATGTAGGTTTGAGGTTTCTCTGTTGGCAGTTTGCATGGATGATATATCCAGTCCATAGCAATATGCTTGAATATATGTCTGTTTGTAGGTTAAGCAGTCCTTGTCATTTTAACTTATTTGTTGGTGTCAGTACCTACTATGTTGTGCAGTGACAATAAATTCCCCATACTGCTTTGGATAAAGTACAATTTCTTACAGAAGTTGGAAGTAGGGGTTTAGGAGAAAAATAAAATTGTATATTCTTGTGGATCATGCATTTGGTCTTAGCTACTGGGGAGGCTGAGATCAGAGGACCGTGGTTCTTGGACCATAAAGTCTGAGGTAATGTATAACCCTAACCCTAACCTTAATCCCATAATATGGTGTCAACTTTCCATCCAGTGCCATACACTGGTGACACATTTGGGACTCTATTTTGTGTATAGTAATAATCTGAATTTAACATGCAAGATGTTATGGAATAACTTGTCTTGTCTTTGAGCAAATTGAAACCTTTTTGGGGCTACCATTTTGTATAATAGAATATTTGTCTCCACAGTATTGGTTACTTACTCTCTTGTAGAACTATTGCTCTGCAAATTGCCTTCAGGATATTTAAGTGCATGGGTAAATTCTATAATACATCAAGTACCACTGTATGTCTACTAATTACTATAGCCATACTGCATAAAAGGAAATATCCTATTCATGGGCAAAAGGAATTGAAGAAGAAAGAGTCAATTCACTTCAACCATACAAAATAAATATGTATTTCAGATACATTATCAGAGTTTCTTGACTCCCAGCACACAAACACTAAGTAAATTGCAATAACGACAAATACATCTGGGTTTATTTGTAGACTCAACTACAAATGAGGGACAATAATCCATGTCCTTAAATTTGTAAAATAAGTTATATACACTCTAGTAAAATGGGTAAGGATGACTTGGGTGCTGGATACCAGAAATCATTTATCTGCTCACGTGTCACCACGTTTTTAGTATATTTAATTAGACTTAAGGAAATATGAAATACGATTGAATCCTGTGGATTTCCCAAGGAGTGGCCGCTGCAAAGGAATAGGAAAAATACATTATTTATATCCCATTATTAATAAAAGAATCAAACATATTTGTGTCAGAGAACAAAGTGCGTTCAGATTCATGGAAGATGGCAGCTCTCTCACAGGTAGCCCACTATGTGTCTCTCACCAAAAGAAGATCTAGGGGCACAGCCACACTTCACCTCAAGAGATACACTCCAATCAAACTCTAAATACCTAAAGACTTTTTCTACTACAAGAGGACTGTCTTAGCAACTAAATTAGGTAAGGGAAAAGAGAGAGTGAATGGGACCCCTGTGGAACAGCTGCACCAAGTGGCTCCGCACCGTGCCATTCCAGGATTTTCTGCAGACTTTAAGCAGAGATGCACCCCAAAACTAAAGAAAGAGGTCAACATTATACCTGCAGAAAGTTAGGAGGGAATCTGGTAAAGACCTCCCAGCTGGTGGAGCCCTCCACCCCAATCCTCCCCCCCAGGGTGGCTATGAGGAAGGAGAAAACTCAGCAATATAGCTATTACAATCACCAGAAATTGGCACCACCAGGTAAGCCCCCAAAGTCAGCCCGTTACTCAAGCACTGGAGGGATCCCCACGGGCCCCTGCCTACCTTGCACAAGGCCCCCAGGAAACCATAGCACAGCCAATCCACCACTATGCTATGGGGCAACTTCCCTGCCAACTGGGCACTGTGCTTGAACCTGCTCCTTCCCTGCTGCCACCCCAGGCTCTCGCAGCCACTGCACCACCAAGTTGCTGCAGGCTTCGCTGCTGCCACACCTAGTAGCTGCAGTCTGCTACTCACAAGGCTGCCCACTTCCACATGCCACCTCCCACTGCCTCTGCTACAGACCATCACGACCATCCACAGTCCACACCAGCCTGCTATACCAACCTTCACTCGGTCCTCCAAGTGCCAGGATTCCCCTGGCTACCACAGAGGAGACCCTTCAGCATCAGCAGAGCCACCCCCTCACTTGGGCTTGCCAACACCCAGACTCTCTGACTGATAACCTGCCAATTCCACCTTTCCACCATAGCATAGGAACTGTGGTCCAGTGCAGCACTAGCTATAGCCCTTTTAAGTAATCCAACTAGGTCCATCCCCTGGAGGTAGCAATTCTCTACAGGATCCCATAGCCCTCTGACCCAAGCCCCCTTCAAATAGGGAGGGATCACACCAGAACAGAACACAGACATAAGTTCTGTTTCTAAGGCTCCTGTGGCTACCTGGGAAAGCCTGGGAACCCCACTCTAGGCCTATGATAGTAGTCTACAAACCTGAAACCAAAAAAACTCCCTGCTACCAGGCCTGATAGTGGGACTGTAGATAGCAGGCACCCTTCCCCATCAAAAGGCCATCTGCTCCCAACCAAGCCACAAGGAAAGTGGACTACAGCAAGGCATACAAGATTCTATCTACAAGGAATCGTCTCTGAGAACTACGGGGAGACTAAAACTCTCCCAAAGAACCCAAAAAACTGACTCTTTAATTTTTTGTTTTTTTTTGTTTTGTTTTTATGTCTGATCATTTCTTGTTTGTTTTTATTTCTGTTATTTATGTGTATTGTGATTTAGAATTTGCTATTCCACTATTTTTCATTATTATTTTTTTCTTCCTAATTTGCAAGTTTTTTTCCTTTCTCACTCTCTCCTCTCTGCACATTATACTACTACTCCATCAGAGCTACCCTGTCAAGTTCTATACACAAAGTAACACCTCCTTCTATGGGTGTAAACAATAATTACAGGAGTTAGATTAAGTGACTTTCCAATAATAGCTGAATAATCATTTTCTAATCTCAGCAAGTCTCCCAAATACACATATGCAACTTATTTTTCTTATCTTCACCTAGATCTCTAAGCTACTCCCTACATAACCTTTCTTCAAATTCTTTTCCACTTCTTACACTTGGTAACAAGGTCTTTATTCTCCTACTACTACATTTACCCCCTCCCCTAAGCTGTGCTTACACATCTACTATCATTATACCCAAGTTTTCTTCTGAACTTAAATTTATATCTTTCCAATCCTAATCCTTCATTTCTCCATCTGCTCCAGCACATTGATCAGTTTCTATCTGACGCCACTTTCATTTGGCTCTATATTTGACTACAAAATTGGTTCCATTTGACTATTTTGAGTACAAGGGGCCCATATTATTAACTCTAAGGAGCAGGATACTTAACAGCCAAACCCAGATTAGCTCAAAAGTTACAGCTATACATAATCTGGTCCCTGAAGCAACTATATCCTCTCCAAGCAAAGAAAAAGAGAGCTAAATTGGAAAACACCTACCCATAACTATGAAACCCTAAGATCTATACATCTACATGACACCAGGTTGGCTCCAGTCCTAAAAGACTGTCATACTCTCATACCAGTGTGGTTCTTGTCTTCAAATGGGTAGAACTAACCACAGAAACAAAAGAAACATGGCCAATCAACAAACTCCAACACCATCTCCACATAAACAAGCTACAGAGTAGTCCCAGAATTACCTAGATGATAATGCTCAAGATAGATTAAAAGCATGGCTGGCAAACCAACTGAATGAAAAATTGGACACCTTTCATAGGGAGACATGTCAGAGAACATGATGAGACCAACCAGAAGATGACTTCATGGCCTCCACAAATAAAAATATAAAGGAACTCCAGCAGATGGAGAAAGAATCTAATAAAAGATAGGAACTCAGAATAAGGAGTGGAAAGCAGATTCTGATAACTAACTCCAGGAGGTAAGGCAATCTATTCAAGACTTTAAAAAATACCTTAATACAGAACTGGCTACCATTAAGAAAGACAAGCATAGAGCTGGGTGCCACTGGTTCACGCCTGTAATCCTAGCTACTCAGGAGGCTGAGATCTGAGGATCACGGTTCAAAGCCAGCCTGGGCAGCAAAGTCCATGAGACTCTTACCTCCGATAAACCGCTAGAAAACCAGAAGTAGTGCTGTGGCTCAAGCGGTAGAGTGCTCACCTTGAGCTGAAGAGCACAGGGACAGCACCCAAGCCCAGAAGCCCCACGACCGACCAAAAAGAAAAAAGACTAGCATAAAGGAAAGGTGATAAACACCAAAGTAAAAAAGCCTTGAAAGTAGACTGGAGGAGGCCAAAAAAAGAATACTGGAGGCTGAAGACAGTTTAGACTCCATAGAGAAATAGCACACAAATAGCCATAACAAAACTAAGAAGCATGACAAATCACTGCAAGAAATACAAAATGCTTTAAGAAAGCCTAATTTGAGAATAATAGGTATACAAGAGGGCCTGGAGAGGGAAGCCAATGGATTAGGAAATATATTCAGCAGAATCTTAGCAGAGAACTTCCAAAATATACAAAAGGACAGGCCCATCCAGATACAAGAAGCTAGAGCCCCAAATAGACCAGATCAGAACAGGTCATCCCACCACTACATTCTAGTCCACACCATATCAATGGCCACTAATGAAAGAATTCTTAAAGCTGCCAGAGACAAGGGAAAAATCACATATAAGGGTAACCCAATCAGAATCACCTCAGACTTCTCAGCAGACACCATAAAAGCAATGGTGCCCTGGAAAGAGGTATACCAAGAATAATCTACCCAGCTAAATTCTCATTAATAGAAGAAGGACAAATAAAACCTTCCACAGCAAGGTAAATCTGGAGCAATATTCACTACTAAATCAGCTGTTCAAAAAATCCTCAAAGACGTTCTACATATAGAAAATTAACAAGAACACAATATAGACAATGAAACAGTCCACAAACAGAGAAATCCATAATCACAATAACAGCCAAGGCACAGTTTCCTCTCCCCCAAAAATGGATAAAAAGGTCAGGACAAACACCTCTCCTTCCTAACCGTCAATATTAATGGAATTAATTCTCCAATTGAGCGACATATATTGTCCAGTTGGATCAAAAAGCAAAATCCTTCTATCTGCTTTCTTTAAGAGACACACCTTGCCCACAAAAATAAACATGTAAAGGCTGGAATAAAATCTATCAACCAAATGGCCCCCATAAACAGATGGGAGTTGCAATCCTAATATCAGATAAAATAGACTTCAAATTAAAGTCAATGAGAACTGATAAAGACGGTCACTGCATACTAATTATGGATCTCGCCTTGAGGAGTATATTATGATTCTAAATATCTACTCACCAAATAATGGAGCACCCAATTTATCCAAGAAACACTACTTTCCCTCAGATCTCACATAGATCCAAAGATATTGTTAGGGACTTTAGCACACCACTATTCCCACTAGATAGATCAACCTGGCAAAAATTCAACACAGAAACATAAGATCTTAAAATCTGCATGGATCAACTAGACTTAATAAACATCTACCGAATATTTCAGCAGCATCAGATTACACCTTCTTCTCAGCAGCACATGGAACATTCTCCAAACTAGACCAGCTTTCAGGCCACAAATCGAATCTGTCCAAATTCAGAAACATTGAAATTATGCCCTGCTTTCTTTCAGACCACAAGGGAATAAAATAAGAAATCAACACCAAAAGCCACCAAGGTAATACTGTAACACATGGAGGCTGAACAACACACTGTTGAATCACCAATGGGTCATGGAAGAGATTACAAAGGAAATTCAAATATTCATGCTATTTAAGAAAAATGAACACACAAACTATCAGCTCCTCTGGGACACAGCAAAGATAGTATTCAGAGGCAAGTTTATAGCTCTAAGTTCCTACATCAACAAATTGGAAAGATCTGAAACTAACAATTTAATGAGGCATCTGAAGCTCCTTGAAAAAGAACAAGCTAAACCCCAATCCAGTAGAGGGAAACAATTAAAATCAAATCCAAATTAAATGAATTAGAATCCAAAAAAACTATAGCAAGGATTAACAAAACGAAGAGTCAGTTCATCGAAAAAATAAACAAAATTGACAGACTTTTAGCAAATCTTATGAGGAAAAAATTGGGAACACACCCAAATAAATAAACTCAGAGAAGAGAATGGAAAATCATTACAGAAACAGCCAAGATTCAGAATATGATAAGGGGATACTTCGCAAACCTTTATGCTAATAAGTTTGAGAATCTGAAGGATATGAAGAAATTTCTAGCAAATATCTTCATGTCGAAACTAAACCAACTTAGACCCATATCAAGCATCAAAATAAAAACAGAAATAAAAACCTTCCACCCAAGGAAACCCCAGGACCGGTTGGATTTACAGCAGAATTCTACAACGCCTCAAAGCAGAACTCACACCAATACTCCTCCATCTCTTTAATGATATTGAAAGCAAAAAATCACTATCACACTCTTTTTATGAGGCCAGCATAACTTTCATCCCCAAACCAGGCAGGGACTCATCAAAGAAAGAGAACTATAGACCCATTTCTTTGATGAACATTGATGCAAACTTCTCAACAAAATCTTGGCCAATCTACTTCAACAACACATCAAAAAAAAATCATACACCACAATCAAACAGGATTTATTTCAGGGATGCAAAGCTGGTTCAATATACGAAATCAATTACTATAATTCATCACATCAACAAGACCAAGGGTAAGAAACACATGGTTATCTCAACAGATGCAGAAAAAACATTTGACAAGTTCCAACACCCCTTTATGATGAAGGCTCTGGAAAAACTAAGAAGCCATTAAAAATCCTCAATACAAAAAAGTTTATATATGACTAACCTACAACCAGCATTATACTTAATGGCAGAAAGTTAAAGCCATTTCCTCTAAATTCAGGAATGAGACAAGGATGTGCGCTCTCTCCACTCCTCTTCAACCTAGTATTAGAATGCCTAGCTACAGCAATAAGACAAGATGCAGACATAAAGGGGATCCAAATAGGGAAAGATGAAGTAAAACTGTCCCTCTTTGCAGATGACATGATCTTGTATTTAAAGAACTCCATGGAAGCCGGACGTGGGTAGCTCACGCCTGTAATCCTAGCTACTCAGAAGGCTGAAATCTGAGGATTGGGATTCAAAGCAAGCCCAGGAAGAAAAGTCTATGAGAAGTGGTGCTGTGGTTCAAACAGTGAAGCCCTCACCTTGAGCTGAAGATCACAGGGCCAGTGCCCAAGCCCAGAGTTCAAGCTCTCAACTGACAAAAAAAAGAACCCCACAGACTCCACTCCCAAGTTACTTGAGTTCATCAGAAACTTTGGCAAAGTAGCAGGGTATAAAATTAACCCTCAGAAATCAATAGCTTTTCTGTATGACAACAATGAGAAGAGTGTGGCTGCAATTAGGAAAGCAACCCCTTTTGTAATAGCCCCACAAAAAATAAAATACTTAGGAATTAAATTAACCAAAGAAGTGATCAACCTCTATGATAAAAACTTTAAAAACCTGAAAAAGATATTTAAAGCAGAACTAAGCAAGTGGGAAAACCTCCCATGCACCTGAATTGTAAGGATTAACATCATGAAAATGGCAATACTGCCAAAGGCTATCTACAAATTCAATGTGATATATATCAATATCCCAATCTAATTCTTCAATGAAATAGAAGAAGCAATCCAAAAATTCATATGGAATAAAAGACCATGAAAAGCAAAAAAAAAAATCCTTAATAGAAAGAACAAGGTTGGAGAAATATCAATTCCAAATTTCAAACTCTGCTACAAAGCCATGATAATCAAAACAGCTTGACAGAATAGACCTGAGGACCAATGGGATAGGACTGAAGACATAGAAATGAACTCACAGATCTATACCTACATAATCTTTGACAAGGGAACTAAAGAATTAGAATGGAAGAAAGACAGCCTTTTCAGTAAACGGTGCTGGCAAAATTGGTTAAACACTGGTACAAAACCAAAGCTAGATCCTTATATATCACCCTGAACTAGAATCAACTCCAAATGATCAAAGATCTTGAAATAAAAGTAGATTCCACGAAAACATTACAGGAGGGAATAGAAGAAACAATGGGGCTCCTTGGCACAGGCTGAAATTTTCTTAATAGAGACACAGAAGCACAACAAATCAAAGAAAGGTTGAACAAATGTGATTGCATGAAACTGGAAAGCTTCTACAAGGCAAAGGACATAGCTAGCAAGATCCATAGAAATCCCACAGACTGGGAGAAGATCATCACTAACCATGCAACAGACAAGGGTCTCATATCTAAAATATACTTGAAACTCAAAAAATTAAATTTCCCAACAACAAATCCTCAAAGAAACAACCGCTTGATAAATAAGTGGGCTAAAGACTTAAAAAAAAAAATTCTCTGAAGAGGAAATAAAAATGGCCAGTAGATACATGAAGAAATGCTCAACTTCTCTAGCCATAAAAGAAATGCAAATAAAAGACAACATTGAGATTCCTCCTAACCCCAGTTAGAATGGCTATAACCAAGAAATCTAGCAATAACAGATGCTGGAGGGGATTTGTGGCCAAAAGGGAACTCTATGCATTGTTGGTGGGAGTGTAAACTTGTTTAACCACTTTGGAAAGCAGTATGGAGGTTCCTCAAAAGACTCCACATAGAGCTCCCTTATGACCCAGCAATCCCACTTTTGGGCATTTAACTGAATGGTCACAAAGAAGACCACACTAAAGCTACCAGAACAACTATGTTTATCGCAGCAATATTTACCATAGCTAAGATATAGAACCAACCCCTATGCCCCTCAGTAGATGAATGGATCAAGAAAATGTGATATATATATATGATGGAATTCTAAACTTCCATCAGCAAGAATGGCATTGCCTCATTTGTAAGGAAATGGAAAGACTTGGAAAAATTATATTAAGTGAAGTAAGCCAGGCCAAAAGAAACATAGGTCCCATGGTTTCCCTGTTAGCAATAACTAGTGTATGTCTAGGACAAGCTGAGAAGGTCAAAAAGCTATGTACATATGACTACATGATATAATGTTAAGCAAAATATACCCCAAGACAGGGATAAAAGTGGTTTTTACTTTCTTGCTAGTATTTTAATGTAATTATAATGCACTGTGTGCTTCTTTTATTTTATTTTTTTGTATGTTCTTCCCCCATGGTATAACCTCTGTTAGATTTGATGCCAGTGTCCTGCATCTTTTATATACATTTTTGTAATTTGGGGAGGGGAAGGGATATTGTGGAATGCTTAAATGAGGATGCAGGCTGACTCATTGTGATGACAGATGTACAGGACACTATGTTGAAAATGAACTTCACAATGTCAGGGCTGGGGGTTGGGGCAGTAGTTCGGGAGGCGCGGAGTGAAGTGATGGCAGAGGGAAAACAAAGGAGAAGGTAACAATGCTCGCTATGAAATATACTCATTACTCTACTCATGTAACTGTAACCCCTTGTACAACATTTTTACAATACAGATATAAACAAATAAAATAAAAAAATAAGTATTTTTCTGTGCTACTGCTAATTACACCCAAGTTTTCAATTATAACACATTGCCAAGTATCCACAAATAAATGATGTTCCCTGCAACTTGCATATCTATGGAAAAGTGACATCTGTGTGGATACTATATGAAGGCTTATCTTTTGATATCATCTGTCTCAACAGATGCAAATTGAGTTGAACATGTGAAATCTTATTCTTGACTATCCACTACATCAATCATTTAGGTACACTTGTTTAAAGCTTAATTATTAAGGTCACCTCTTCTATCTCAAAATTGCATTGGAAGCCTTGCTGAATTATGTCTTACATAACCACTGGAGAGTTACCATGAATCACAGACAGAATCAGGAAAAATTTCATGTTGACTATACAAAATACAACTCAACGGAGGGGGGAGGGGAATGAGAAAGGGAAACCAAGGAGGAGGCAACAATGCTTGATAAAAAATGTACTCATTACTTTGTTCATGTAATTGTAACCCCTCTGTAGGGTGTTTTCACAATAATAAAAAAAAAATACAACCCAATACCCAGCTTGGATATTTTGTCTTGACGATTTTAAATCCATTTGTTATTTGTACTCTCTTTTCAGTAATTAAAAAGAGATAAATTACACAGCAATATGAATTTTTATATGAGAATAATCCAAAAGTAACACACAGTCATAAAATAATGATGCAAGTTATATTACAAATGAAATATAAAACATGAAGGGATGTAAGAGAGCAATCACCAGGGAAAATTATAAGAATTAGGTCCCCCCCACAAAAGAATTAGGTCTTGCAATACCATGGCCATATGCTCAAGCAAATCTGCAGGTTTCCATCCAGAAGTACAAAAAACCCATGTTTCAGGGAAATGACAAACATAATTTCTAGTGGCGGTAGTGAATTGCATAGAACAGTATCTGACAAATGATATATTTTTAAAAAAATATAACAATCCCATCTTTTATTGTGAACACTGAAAGGCTCGAGGTAAAAGATTAGCAGTAACTAATGATGGTACAACCTTTTTCTCAAAGGTTAATCACTTTGAGAACTCTAAGCAAAAAAACATGTCAAAGCTGAACATGCTAGAACACCTACATTTTATGCTAATTTCATAACAGGAAGACTTTAACTCAGATACTAACCAGATAAACCATCAATCATAGCAAGGTGCCATGTTGTTACCCATATTTTGTTTCTCCCAGTTCAAATAATTTACAGCATTCATGCTGTAAAGACATTTTCTTGGAGAAGAATCAAAGTTATTTATAAGGCCATTCCTCCGTGGTCGAACCAAATATCCCATAAGCATACAGCACAGAGGATTACACATGGAATTGGACAAATATGTGGATGACTTAAGCATACACACTTAAACATATCTGATCACTCAAATCAATGAAGCAGTATGAAGATTTAGCCAATATTCAGGGACAAAACAAAAAACACTACCTTTGCCTCCCCAATTTTCACAGGTTTTTTTTTTTAATCGTAATCTCTATTGTATTATTCTTCCTCCACTCCATAGTAATTATGAGTGACCAAATGGGGCATTAATTACACAAGGGTATCCCATTTGAATTAACATGGGTTCAGGTTCGCTGCTCTGACAAACATTTAAATTTGGGAAATACACTAATGCACCACACTGGGGTTTTCTCTATGTCAATTTTAAAGGTGAAAATGTACAATAGTACATAATCTGAGAATGAAGCCTACCAAAAATTATTTGGTTGGTGGATGGTTGGAAAAATTTCATGAGCAAATTTATGTTTAGCTGAAAACACAGCTGACTGGTGAAACTAAGTCCACCAAAGAAGTGACAGTATTGTTTGGCCAGATGTACCATTATGCATGTCCCTCATGGTAGCATATGTGAGTAAAGTTAATTTTCACTGCATTACATTTAGATTTGTCTCAGTAATATCTTATCTAAAAGTGAACTATCTCTGTGTACTTACATGCTTAAAAGTTTCCGCTACTCATTGTTTCCTCCTGTGCTGCAAAATAATGCAGATGTTATTAAATGACAGAGTAGTGTCACTACTTTCGCAGAAATGCAATAATATTTTGAAAGCTATTTCTGAATTAATTTGCAGTCTTCTAATGTGTTCTGAGAGCCAGTGATGTATTTCTACATGACAATATTGCGTTTGAAACTAAATGACTTGATTTGGAAATACAAATGACTTGAAGACATATGTGATTGTTTTTAAATTAGTATTCTTTTTTATGAGTATATGGGAAGTTGTTTGTGTGTGCTGGACTTTAACATTGAACTCAAAGTCTAGTTTCTCATCAAGAAAAATGCTAAGCCACTCAAACTCTCGCTATAGTTTTTGGATTTTGGTGCTTCATTTCAGATATAGGCCTGAGAAATTTACTTGCCAGGGATGGCCTTGAACCATGATCCTCAGATCATCTAGCATAGCTACAATTACAAGCGTGATCTACTGGTGCCAGGGTGAGAGTAGTTTGTACCACAATAAAATCACGTCATAGTATCCTACTGGTATCAGTTGTTAGTAGGTAGATATAAAAACCACCTACTCTAAAGCCTAGACACATCCTATTTTACAGACATCTTCCTGATGTCTTTGAAATTGGTATTTGTATCCATGTTCCTCTTGTCTCTCTGTTACTATATTTCTTTCATGAGTAGGAAAGTATTTAAGGAGGTATCAGGGAGAAAGTTTAAATCCACACTAGTCTTTCTCACATTGTATTCTCAAGATCATCCAAAAACACTAGTGCTCACAACTTAATTCACAGTGAAGATTGTGGTATTTTTGACTCTGATGAGAAAACAAGAATGATTTCACCCAATTTTACTTACTGTTTTTTCCAGGGTAGAACATGTGTTGGGCTCTTGGTGCAATTTTGACTTGAGACCAATTTACTCTTAAGTTCCAGGATCTTTTTGCTTCCAGGGCTGAAGAGAGAATAAATGCATGTCCATATGTCAGATGTCTAGAATGCATTGCCAGTCTTCTAAGAAGAGGTGGGCTAATTTGGGCAATCTACACAACTTCATGAATCTAAAGTGAATGAAATATTCCCTGCAAGCTCAGTATATGATGCTATTCATTTACAGTATTTCTAACGTTGTGGTGGTTAGCAATTATATGTGTTTTCACACTCTATAAAACTGTTCACACCACAAATGATACTTTCCAACAATACAAGGACAAGTTCATTCTACTATTAAGATTTTCTATAAAGATATTCAAGATCTGATCTGATAAGTTACTGGTATAAGAATGTTGAATGATTAAAGATACAACTTTTGAATGTTCTATCTCTGTCTTAATTACTACACTTGGAAGCCTTCAGGAACATTAAATGTAAAGAACAATATGTGCTGCTAGTGAAAATCAGCTCTAGAACACATTTAGTCACTAATTACCCTGAAATCATAATTTCTTTTCATATTCATCATCAAATGTGATTATTTAATTCTTCTAAAAAAACTTGTCATTTAGATAGAACTCCCAACAAATTAGATGATGGAAGGTCATATTACTTCTCTTCACAAATTTATATTGGGAGTACTTTCTCAGTTATTTTAATACTCGGGTAATGAGTATATATGGCCACAGAACAATTTTCTTTTCTTATAATTTTTTTCAATCTCTGTTCTCAGTTTAAATATTTATATGTCAAGTGTGATCTGAGAAAGTAGAAAGAAACTACAAAATAATAATTTAGTTGATACAAAGAGGATTATCCAGTTCTTTCCAAAATTGAAATGGGCCAAAAAATATGAGAAAAATATTGGGCCCTAGAGTCACAGTGTCTGTAAATACTCAGTAACTTTCCTTGTTGATAGGAATCGTTAGGAGTATGGAGAACAAAATGTTTTTTCAACCCTACCATATTAGTTTACTTTCATTTCTGTCTGAGAAAATTATATCAGATGATAAAAGCATTTCCCTTACCTGTTGTGGCTACAGGATTTGATTTTGCCCCACACAAAAGGTGGACTAGGGTGATCCAATGATTCTGCCACAGGAAGAAACACATAATTGGTGATATTATTGGTTAAAAAAGTGTCAAGTACCTTTAATGACTGACATAGAAAAATATTTAATTTCATAATATATATAAAAATAATTTAATACATAAAGGAGACAATTAAATCATGCTGTTTTTTACATGGTTTTGTACACCACAGTGAGGAATGCCTAGCTTCCTGTATGAGGATGAGTAGAATTTACTGAATATTTGGGGAAACTTCTTGTGTCAATTTTAAAGAAAATATATTATAAGCAATAACTAAGTAAATTGCAATTTAGCCATGGTAGAAACCTAAAAATTCAGGAGTTCTTTACCTTTATCCCAGTCTTCCTCACAGGGAGGGCATTGCCATGTATTTTCAGACCTCCTTTCTTGTGCACGGTCTGAAGCGAAGTTGACTACAAGATAACAGGTATGTGACAAGATATTCTGTATCACTAACATTTTATTTATGTGTGTCTACTGATTATTTGACTGAATGTTGTCAAACTCTGCTTGGCTTCACTTCCAAATAACTAAGGGACATAAATATAATCACGGAGGCTGTGCACCGGTGGCTCACACCTGTAATCCTAGTTACTCAGGAGGCTGAGATCTGATCATCGTGGTTCAAAGCCAGCCTGGGCAGGAAAATCTATGAGACTTATCTCCAATACACTAACAGAAAACAGGAATTGTCACTGTGGCTCAAGTGGTAGTGTTATCCTTGAACCGAATAGCTGAGGGACAGGGCCAGGCCCTGAGTTCAGGTCCCATGACCAACAAAACAAAAACAAAAAAATAAAATAAATAAAAAGTTAATTACGGAGAATCAGCTTTTATGCTACCAAAATAATTATTGTGGAGATAGGAAAGAGAACTATGGGACAAAAGTTGTATACCACACCTGTGGTGATTCCTTAAAGGAAAAGGAAGCTTGCTCTGCTGAAGTGAAAGCACCGAGGCTGACACATGACAGTTGTTTGAAAAAACAACCTTGTGAGTGAATATAGTGCCCCCTCTTTTTTTAGTGAGATGGAGATGTCTTAGATGTCAGTCTTACCTGCAAAATCCTCAATGCAAGTTTTGTCAACACAGTTTGCTATGTGCTTACGGAACTCATCACGAGGAACTAAGTGGCGAGCATTGAAGGGGCACGTGGCCAATTTGGCTGCAATGTCAGGATGATTCTGCACAGCAAATACACAAATATAATAAATGGTTTGAATGGTTTAAATGACAAATTCGGCAATCTACTTACATGCAAGAATATATCCATGTTTTATTCAAACTAGAAGACTGATATGGCAGGTAAATACGTAGGAGACTATGATGAAAGGAATATTTGAAAATGTTCCCAGTGTGATGTGTGATCCCGTAAGATTAGGCAAAAGTAGGAAGAAGTATATTTTCTGGCCCAGAATTCTAGCTCTGAGAGCAGCAACCAAAATTTTGAGAGAAGGCAATCTATCACCCAAAACTGGGTCAAAATTGAAGCAATGAACATCAACATAGAAATTACCACCTCACATATAGGGGTGGATATACAGTAAATATCTCCATTTTTATTAATTTTGATCACTAACTGAAATAGCAAAAAATCATGTTGAATAAACTGTAACAAGATAATGCCTTACAGTTCTGTACAGTTTCAACCAGATATTTAAAATTATTATTACTTTTGGATTTTGCAACTTGTCAGTAGTAACAGTGGAAACCTTGTGTGATTATTATCAACTATAGGACACATAGTTTCAATGCATTTGTGAACAACCGAAAAATGTATCATAGAGCTCTACAAATAAAAAAGATGGACCACCATTCTAGGAGTGTCCATTTCCCCATAACTGAGAATACAGAACCAAAAATCAACCCTCCTCTTTCTTCCCATGTAATAACTTCTGCACAGTTAACTCAGATATATTTCCTACAATTGTACATATTCTGTTCACAAAATTCATTCAACCAAGGACTGAAGAATTTTGACAGGCACAGAATTTAATGCTAAATATTACCTTTCTGCATTTCACCAGATGGTAGGGGAACCGGCGGGCCATCACCTTGTGGCCTTTATCATAGGGGCATGGTAGTAGCCTCTCAGGATCCGCAGATTCATCTCAAAGAGAAAAATGTATACTGAAATTTTAAAGGCACTTGAAAATTATAAACCCGCCCCCTGCATTAGACAAAGCCACCTGAAGGAAGTTAAGATTCAAAAATGTTACTAAAGAATATTATTGTAGAAATTAGAATGACACTACCTGAACCTTGAGTGATAATGTCAATCTGAGTTGGGTTAATATGAGTTGTACATTTGGGAAAATTTGCACTAAACCCAATACTTAATACAATGTCCCAATTGGAAGTATTGCCTGCTGAGACTAAACATGAGATTGTAGGCCCATGAATAATATGCTTTTTGCAGCATAATAAATATTTATTATGATTCAAAATTAGAACATGCAGAATGTCTAAAATTTAGGACATCATCAGGTTAAATCAAATCAAACACCAATGTGAGTTCCAAAGACACCCTGTAAATAAACAGTTCACAGGATTTTAAGAAGAAAGAGAAAACATATACCAACTATGTCTTCCATTCTGACAGGGAGGTAAGTGACAACAAGTCCTGCAGGGAGATGGGGAGGAAAATATGTTCGGTGAATTAATATTTTGATATTTTCAAATCAATCCTCTGAAATATTCTTACTTCCAATAATAATAATAATAATAACAATAGCAAGGAATTATTCCTTTAGAGTTTTTATCCAAAGATTTTTAACTATAAAAGAGGGGACATATGGGAATATAGTTACTCAAATCCAAAATTTGGAACTGTGGTTCAATTTGCAGAAAATGCCTTCCATAACTTGTCTGGTGGAGCCGAGTTTCCGACAATACTAACAAAAATAATGTGGGACTGGATGTATAGCCAGCCAAAACCTGTTCAAATTATAAGGTGAAAATATTCAAGAGCAAAATGAATATCTTACTTAAGTTGATGTTGGAACATTGAAAAAAAAGGTGTGGACAGGTTGATTTGTCCTTAACTTGCCTCACCAAAAAAAGCATGATATTATGCATTCCAAATCTGCTGTGGGTGATTTGCAATTCCTTCAACTACTGGACTGCAATGATTTTTTAAAATTACTTTTTGGCTGCACTGATTTTTACTGCCTATCAGCAACTACATCTATCTATTTTATGCTCTTTGTTCTATGGCCCACTCATTTCCTAGGATTTTTTATTTAGGAAGTATTTTTTCTTCTTTACAGGAAGCATTTATACAATAAAAATAAAAAAAAATTTAAAGTGTCTGGAAAATATATATTCAAGAATTAAATTGAGTTCATGCATATGGCATTACAAAAACCCTGTGGTATATGAAAGTTTCCCATCATGGAGGGAAATGAATTGGTTGCAAACACACAAAAGAGAAAAAGAACTAGACAAAAAGAGAGAAAGTAGGGTCCCTTGGTACTTTTCATTGCAATATGTTTTACACTTTGTATAAAGAGAAAACTCTATGTAAAGCTCTATGTATCTTGATGACAGGGAAATAAATGAAAACAATTCTTTGGGGCAAACTTATTCTCCAAATAGCAAGGGTTAAATATAACAGACCGCAATAAATAAACAAAAAAATTTAAGTTAGTAGAGAGATTTATGTAACTCCACAAAAACCTAACAGGATGGTCAGGCAGAAAGTACATGTACCATAATATGTGCAGCTCTTCCTATTTGTAGATGATAAAAATGAACAATAAAACAGCATTCAAAACGTCTCAAACAACCAATGCACATGTATATTCCCCATGTAAGAGTTGTCAGTTTAATGTCATCTTTCTAACTATACCTAGATTCTCTACTATGACACTCTAATAGGACAGAAATTATTTGGAAGCATCCCTTATCAAGATTGTTAACTATATACAATGGAAACTTTTGGAATGTTGATACTCTGATGTGGAAATCACAATTGTACTTCCATTGTCAAAAAACATCATCACTTCAGGGTCTAGTATACCCGAACCCATCTCTACAAGCAGTAGAAAAAACATGAGTTCTTTGTCCTACTAATAACAGCAACATGAATGTCAGGGAATTTACAATATGGACTCCCTGGATATCTGAAGCTGCTATGAAATCTGAATAAGTGAAGTTTTTCGATGATTCCATGCTTGGGATGATACTAACTAGTTCGAGACAATTTTAGCTGTCACTACCGGGTAATGGAGATTTGGAACCAATATCCAAGAGCCAAATATCAAAAAGCCAAATAAATAACATATTCAGGTATGTGTTGGAAGGACAAGAGGATATGAAACTGATTGAAAGCCCATAAATTTAACTATACTTACACAAGCAGAACAAAATCCCTTCCTTCTAAGATAAAGAAGGTTTTCACAAGCAACGGTCACTTTCTTCTGATTCCTCTGGGTGCAGTCATAGTTACAGTGACGTGGGAAGTAAACATCATTTCCGGTTCATGGTCTCAGGGTACAGAGTCCTACTTTCACTATTTCAACAGAAATGCCCAAAGCCAGAACAATAACCCTCAGTTCCAGTAACAGTACTAATTTTCTACTGGAATTCACTGAACATATCACAAGTATGATTAGGTTTCGGGTTCGAGTTCCAGTTTATGGTCCCGTTTTGGGTTAGGGTTAGAGTTAGGTTTAGAATTCAGGGTTGGGTTCGGACCAGGTCAGGGTTCAGAGTTCAAATTCGAGCCAGGGTTTAGGGTTAACGAACTTGGGGGTCTGTGTCTGAGTTTGGGTTGAGGGTCCAGGTCTGGGTCCGAGACTGGGTTCAGGGTCTAGGTCCAATGTCAGGGTCATGGTTCGGGACCTAGGATTAGGGTCCAGAGTTAAGGGTTAAGCCGATCCGGGACAAAATATCGGTTAAGGTTAAAGTCCGAGTCTGGGTCCAGACTTGGCATAAGGGTTAGCTTCCAATGTTAGGGTTGAGTGTTAGGGATTAGAATCCAAGGGTTAGGAGTTAGAGTCCTAGGGTTAGGGTTTGGTTTCAGGGCCAGGCTTAGGTGTTAGGGTCAGGGTCAAGTTCTAGCGATTAGAGGTTAGGGGTCAGATCAAGGTTTAGGGTTTAAGGATTAACGGTCATGGTTTAGGGGATGTGGGTAAGTGTCAAGGGTAAGAGGTTAGGGGTCAGAGTCAATGTTTAGGGTTTAGGGGTCAGGGGTCAGGGTCACGGTTTAGGAGTTAGAAGTTAGGGGTCAGGGTCTGGGGTCAGGATCTGTGTCGGGGTAAGGATATGGGTCTGGGGGGCACGGTTAGGGTGTTAGAGTGTTAGGAATTTAGGGTGTTTGGGTGTTAGGGGTTAAAGGTGTTAGGGTTAGGATGTTAGGGTTTTAAAGGTTATGGGTATTAGGGTTAAGGGTTAGGGGTTGGGAGTTAGGGTCAGGAGTTAGGAGTTAGGATCAGGGGTCAGGGGTTAGAGTCAGGGTGAGGGTTAGGTGTTAGGGTTGGTTTGGGTTAGAAGTAAGGGTTGGTTAGGGTTGGTTATGGTGGGTTAGGATTTTAGGGTGTTACAGTTGGTTAGGGTGGGTTAGGGTGTTAGGGGTCAAGGTTTGCTATGGTCTGAAGGTGTTAGAGGGTTAGAGATGAGGATTAGATGGTTATGGTTGGGGTTCAGATTAGAGGGTTAGGGTTGAGAATCACGGTCCGGGATAGGGTTCAGGTCTGAGTTCAGGTTCGGGTAAGGATTCGGGTCAGGGTCAGGGTCAGGTGTTCGGGTCTGGATCAGGGTCCCAGGTCGGGGTCAGGGGTTCGGGCGCAGGTTCGGGATGAGGGTCAGGTTTAGGTCAGGGTTGAGGTCTGGTTCAGGGATTGGGGTCATGGTTGGGGTCATGGTCGAGGTCAGGCCAAGGTGATCGGGGTCATGGTCGGCTTAAGGTAGGGGTCAGGGGTCCGGCAGCAGAGGTCAGGGGTCAGGGGTCCGGATCCGGGGTTAGTGTTAGAATTAGATGCTTAGAGTGAGGTTGAGGGAGAAGTTGAGGGGTTAGTGTGATGGTTAGTATGAGGTTGAGGCGTTAGTGTGAGGGTTCGGGGTTAGGGGTT